TCTACAGCGTCAAGCAGTGTCGTCATAACGGCCAAGCCAACCTCACGCTGTCTAAACACTAATGACCAATTTGCTTTGATTACAACAGGGAATGTGTTTCTGCGCTGAATTTCATGGTAAAAGCGTCACGTCCCTGTGTGACGGCAAGTCGTTACACACATAACGAGGCAACATAAATTTTTATTTTTGAGAGTGTTCAACGTAGGTTTGTTCGTGTTTTTTTTTATCGTTATTTTCAACCGAATTATTTCTATAGTTATGTGAGGATTTGTGACCTCGTGAAGTTAGACTCGTTGCACAACAGGAGAACGATTCGTGAACTGACATATTTGTATAATATTGTAAATGGTATAATTGATTCCCCAGAGGTACTCAGTCAAATCTATTTGCACGTTCCTGGTCAGTCTTGTAGAGTTTATACTTTGTTTTATCCTATCAACTTTTACTATGCTGCACACATGATACGCCTACAACTGACTTATAACCATTTAGAACAGATTTGTGCGACTGCTAGCCTTGGTATATTTGATGAAAAGCGTAAATTTCGACAGTGTGTTGAGGCTATTGTTTTTTTCCTAACGTTTCGCTTTATCCTGTTTAGCGTTGCATTTCTGAAGGAATAAGTGCACCACTAAGGAGGCGTCAAGCTGTTGGTGGGTCACTGAAAATAAGAATAAACATAAACATACTTGGCTCATAGCAGGCTATGCATACTCATTCACACAGAAAATATTCTCAGTCGTTAATAACCATGCGTAAACATAATTTGGCGTAATTTGCTTGTAACAAGGGATCTTTACCACGCGGCTCAGCGGGAAACAAACTTCTGACCTTGTGATCTGCAGCCTTGGCTCGGTGCTACAGTGAGGAAATGAAAGGACCAAGGATGTCTCACGGCGCTTGCGGTGGCAGGTTACCGTTAGCACTCGCAGATGACTTCCTAATGACGAAGCGTAGCGCCCTACGTGATCTCGCGTCGACATGGGGCGGATCATAATGCACTGACGGGTAGCTCAGCGCAACGTTACAAGATTACCTCAGTTGAGGAACTCTCCCGAAGGGGTGTACACTCCTTACTCCCTTCAATCCGCCTCCCGTCGTTAGAATCGAAATCTAGACTTTCGTTCCGAAACTGGGTGTTACACAGTGTAGAGTTCCTGTATATAGCTATTAGCTACCTACGGTAGCAGAGTTGCGCACTCAGCCTCGGCGGATGGCCGTTGAGCCGGCTTTCCTGCACGGTCGTGGATGCTTTGCTCGTCACGTGACTGAATGTGGCGAATAGCGCTGACACGCGCGCAGCCGCGCATGAAAAACAGAAAAGGAGCAGGAGCCGAAAGCAGGGGAACATACGCCGGTGCGCGTGCAACGTCGAGGGAACGACCGTAGCGGTGGATGCTTTGCTCCTCACGTGATGGATCTTGGCGAATAGCGGCGTGGCGGCGTGGGGAAAACAAATGAGCAACTCTGCTCCCCCTTCGCGGGAGCATATCGAGGATCGCTATTATAGAGTACGGTGAAATGCCATCTAGACATTGCGCTTCGAAGTATACGCATTCCGTAGGATACACTGCAGTTACCGTCGCAGTCGTCGCTCCCAAAGCGGTGGCGCGTCGAACGACCGGAGGTGATCCGTGAGGGAAGAGGGGGGCACTGCTTGCGGATGCAGCCTCTACGGGCAGAGCCGTAATTTAGCCAATCTAATCGAGTTGGCTCAACGCAACGTTACTAGATTAGATCAGTTACTCCATCGAAGGCACACCTTTTGCAAAAACAATCTAGATGGCGTTTCAAACGACTGGAGGGCAGAGCGGTTTATTGGGAGCGTTTGGTCATTAATTGGATTGAATGGGCAAGCATCTCGTGGCCAACCACAGGCCGCGAAATAGCCCTTAGCTGTGGCCGTGAGCTCTAAAAATGCGACACGACTAATTTAAGCCGTTTTAGCGTCCCTGAAGTCTTGGTGTCTGAAAACTTGGCGCATGCGCATTTCAAACCAGAGCAAACTGCGTGGTTGCGGTGCAGAGCCCGACTAGAGCCCGACTCTTTATGTGGCTCTTTCTGGTACCACTCATCAGTGCGCCAACAAATTCCGTGGTAGACATCTCCTCGTGCGCCACACACACAAGCCAAAGAGTTCGCACGGTTCCTAGCTCGCTGTTCCTTCGTTTGCCACTTCGGCAAGCAAGACAATCGCGGAACACGGGGAAGTGCTATTTATACTTCGACCAAACATGGGCTAAACGCAGAGGCTACAAGGGCGAGCTGGTAGCTTCGAAAGATTCTTCCCCAGTACGAACACTCGAGAGGTGGAGCAGGAACCCGTGTGCTCGTGCTCGCAGGAATGCATGACACCTGTGACTTGAGGATTCTGAATATTGTTTCATTGTGCTCTGCGAAACCGGGTGTGAGCGCAGAGCCGTTCTGTGTCAGTGCAGATCCCGAGGTCTTCTCTCTTCGATCCGATTGGCGCTCACTCACCAGTCATGTTTTTAACCATAAAAAAAAAAAAAAAAAAAAAAAAAAAAAAAAAAAACGCGGAACCGGGATTATCGTTTCAATTATTAGCTCGATTTGAATAGTTCCTTGGTAGCAACAGTCAACGCCTCCACGCCTTGGTCACCCAACGGTCATTGCTGCAGATTTGCTATCGACGCATTTTCAGAGACGCCGAGATAGAACTATTCCCTTTCACGATTTAAATGTCGTTTCCAATATTGCGGCGCCGCGGTTCGCTGATTGGTCGACGCGTTGTCGCATATTTAGTTAACGCTCTAACCGCGGGGAGAATATTCGGCGCTGGCGCCGACCTTTACTCTGCCTCTTGGCCAAAACTCTCCCAATATAGACCTTTTCCACAAGGGCGCCGCCATCTTGAATTGACGTCACTTCCAGTATGGGCGAAAACGTAACTTTGCCGTTGCCACGCCAATAGAAGACATTTAGGATATAAGCCTAACCGTCACACATTCTCGTTTTGGCTCCACTCTATTTTTTTGACTGGTTACAGGTTGAAACGTTTTACTTTTTTTTCGTCGCCCATACTGGAAGTGACGACAATTCAAGATGGCGGCGCCCTTGTGGAAAAGGTCTATACGGCTCTCCGGGAGGTTAAAGCACCACGATGTGTGTGTGTTTGCCTTCCAAGTAATGTCGAACGCGCCAGTGCACGAGGCCCGAGTCTCGAGCGGCCCTTGGGAGCAAATGGCGGCGGAGCAAGCGCTCGTGGCACGCGTCTTGCGCGTTTCCACAACAATGATTGGCGGTGCTCGTAAAACACGCCTTTATCAAGGGGCTTTACGGTAGGGAGACTGAAGTGAGTGAGGGGGTTACTCTACCCCACGGGAGTTCCACAACTGGCCTAATCTAATAATATTGGCTCAGAGGGCCTGTGACGTCATGACTTCACACAGCAAATAAATAGCGTAGCGGGCACGATACTCATGTAGACTCTTGATATGTTCGTGTCTGTCTTGCAAGAAGCGTCAATTGCGCCAAAAAGCGGTGGCACCGCCTCGTGCACTTCTTCGAAGCAAATGGAGGCAAAGCACAGAAATGAGGGGCCCTTGGAAGAAGAGGGCGGCGCAGAACTCGCTCCCGGCACATGTTCGGCGCGTTCGCGCAAAAATGGTTGAAGGTACGAGAAAGAAACGCGAAAAGTGAATTTATCCACGGACTTTAGATAGGTTTATTCCCCTTGCGACTACTTCAGCTAACAAGCTCGCAATTCAAGAGCGCTAATAACTCAAGGCATTACACGCACGGTCGGTAGAAGAAGCCATGGAAACTTTCTCATGAAAGGATAACTCCTCACATGCGCAACTGCCGAGTGAATTCACGCTCATCTTGATAGTTCTTATAAAATTTGTATTTGTTGTGTCATGTGTGCAACGCATTCGAAAACATTCAACGTTTTCCCTAAACAAGCAAGACAGATCCTCACTGACGCGTCCCGCACGTACCACAGATGCTGTACTCGAAATGTTTATCAGAATGATCGAAACAAGCTTAATTTCCGCAGTGCCGCGATACATTGAAATTACAGAGGAAGAAATAGCGCTTGTCCTGTGTGCTTCTTCGCCCTTTTGTCCCGTCTTTCTTGTGCTATTTTTAATATGGATGAAGAAATAGGGTGCCGCACTTTCTGAATCACTCAGCTAGGAATGAGACGCTTGAACGATATTTGGTAATGAGTTACGTGGACGATATTAAGTACTTAGTTTCCTCATGAACATGAGCCAAATGTCCAGGAGGGGCTCAGATGGTCACGTGTTGTGAGGACACTTCGTTGAACGCGTTTACGACTTCTCGAACTTACAAAGTGCCGTAATGTGACTTTTGAATTCGTTGAATAGATGGGAAAAAGCTATCAACAGAGTGGTTTCCCATCATGCATCTGCGTGTGCTAGCCCAAATTTCATTCTTAGAAAAAGAAAAAAAAAAATCACCTCCCATATTGGCTACCTTTGATATAAGTAATAAGAAATATGCTAATCGAGTAGGGATTTTTAAAACGAGCTTACGTAGCAGAGGTCGGCTACTTATTTTTGCCGCTTTCGACGACTGAGTGTCACCAGTTATGAATTACGTGTACAGCTGTTTTAAATATTACAAAAATGAATTGACGATCTGGCGTTCATGAAGCGGAGCTGATGGCGCTGCCGGTCATGTTAACGACCACCCTGACTTGCGGAGTGAATTACGCGATGATGGCGAACACGTTTGCACGCTATACTGTACGTCGGTCTCAACGTTTAGCGGCAAAACGGCTTCACACTTGGTCCAGATGCCACTTGAAGCCAAATACTTCAAAATGCCCCAGTTTTAAATGCTAAGCACGCATAAAAAAGAACGAAGGTAAACATTATTGACAATTAAACCGACATTACTTAAACAGAAATTAGGAGCCGATAGACACAAACAGAATTAGACGAAAAAAAGAAGAACCTGGTCTTTAAACATAGAGGATCGCAGGAGACGCGAAGAATTCCAAACGAGTATTTTCGTTCAAAAATTTATTCATTGCATATCGTTCCGAAGAAAAAGAAACAACAAAAAGTACACTCGTTGGGAGAGTTTTGTTCTCGCAAACTAAAGTTCACACTCGCGTACTTTATTAACAATAGACTCTAAAGTTCCTTTGAGGAAAAAAAAAAACGCGAAAGAAATAGTAGCTGCCTTACAAAGAAAGCGCATTTAAAATAAAACCAACATTTACGAAAAAGAAAAACAAAAAAGACGACAAGTACACACAGGGTAAAAACATGTCAAGGAATGTTCTTGCTAGGTTCTTTTTGCAAGTTTCGTACAAGGTTGGCAAGCGGTTTCTTCCGAAGTGCTAAATTTTGGCAACGATCCCTCCTGTGGACATTTGTACGATGGAAGTGCACAAAAAAAAATTAAAGTGACACCACGGTATAGAACAAAGACAGATGAGAGCCCAGTACGGTGGCGGTATTCTTTTCTCGTGAAAGTCTAAAGCTTTATGGGTAGAAAAGGGGCAATCACCGAGCTACCTCATTTTGCACTCAAGTTCGGCCATCTAAAAATAAAAAAGAGAAAGTGAAAAAGAAATAAAAATAGCAGCCATGAGCAGCCTACTTGTTACTCAAAATTAAAATCTGCCGCGTTCCATTCTACTTTATTTTATTCCATAAAAAAAAAGTAGACACATTACTGTACTTGTCGCCCCAACTTTTCGGCGAGTATAAAAAGAGAGATAACTAAAAACGAACTAACACAGTCATAGGCTAAAAAAAGCGAAAAACGTCAACTTAAACAAAAACAAGAAAACCGAGAAGACAGTTAGAAAGAAGGTGGGGAATGCCCAGGATCGTTGAGCAACAAAGCTCCGCTGACTCGAACATGTGGAATAAATTAAGGGCACACTCGCTAATGCAACACTCGAATTACTGAGCGTCTTAAGAAAACCGCGCCGTCTCATTTCGCAAACTGCGCTCGCCGGGGACCTGCCGAGGGGAACCGTTGCGGACGACGACGAAGCGCAACGGGAAACCGCCGCTCGCCGTGCCGTGTGCTCGACTAGCGCTTTTCTCGGGGGAACACAGAAAAAAATGCCTCTTGAAGGGAACTTGAGGACTCGCCGCCTGCCTCAAGAGGACGCCTCAAAGGTCCGCGCGTGTGCGTATGTACAAAGTGGGAATATTACAAAGCCGCGATTGGAACTCTACAGGTCCGACGGCGGTGTGCCGCTGCTATCACAGTTCCGTCACTGGAATCATCTTGATGGGCGACGTGGCCGCCTGGCAGATGGTGGCGTCCTCGTCGCCGCTCGTCTTGTGGTACTGGGGCTCCTTGGCGCCGCTGCCCCACTTACTCTTCAGCAGGCCCGCCACTCGTTCGCGGAAGCGGAACCCCAGCAGCACGATGAGGGCGAAGGAGACGGCCCCGGCCGCCACCACGCCGATGATGATGTGCCTGCGGACGTCCGCGTCGTAGCAGCCCAAGTCCCCCTCGCTCAAGTCGCGCACCAGCTTGTCCTTGAGCGCCGACGGACCGCCGCCGCAGCGAATCTGCCACGTGTCGGCCGTCAGCGGAGCGCTGGTGGCGTTGCGGGACGCGCATAACTGCCACAGCCACAGGGCGCTGCAGTTGCACACCAGGGGGTTGTCCCGCAGGTCCATCTCCTGGAGTTCGTCCCAGTCGAGTAAGGACGCGTCGAAGGACCCGAAGGCGTTGCCCCGGAGGCTGACGCGCCTCAGCCTGGCAAGGCCGTCGAAAGCGCCCGGCTCGATGCGGTTCAGGTTCACGTTGTGCGTCAACACGACCGTTTCCAGGTCCGCGTTTTCGGCGAAAGCACCTCTAGCTACGAGGCGCAGCGAAGGCGATCCGCTGACGTCCACGGCACGAAGCAGCTTGAGGTACTCGAATGCCTGCGGTCGCAGACTTGGGAACTTGTTTTGGCCCAGCTGGAGTTCTTCGAGGCGCCGAATGTGCTGGAATGTTCCGGTGGGTACCTCTTCGAGCTCGTTGTCGTGGAGCTTGAGCTTGCGCAGCCCAGACAGCTGTTTGAAGGCACCGGCCTGAACGGTCTTCACGCCGCAGCCGTCCAGTGAAAGCTCTTCCAGTTGACGCAGCATGGCGAACGCCTCTTCCGGAATGTTGGAGAACATGTTGAGGCCCAGGTCAAGGCTCAGCAGCTTCGAGAGTGGGACCAGGGCTTGACTCGGTATGGTCACAAACTTGTTGTCCCTCAGCACCAGAGTCTTAAGGTTGGTAAGTCCCACGAAGGCGCTATCCGCCAGCCTCACCAGGCGGTTCTGTGAGAGGTCCAGCTTCTCGAGCTTGCGAAGCGGGGCAAACATACCGGAGGGCAGGTCGTCGATGAAGTTCTCGCTGAGCAGTAGCGTATGCAGCTCATCGAGACCGACAAAAGTGCCATTGTCCAGCTGGTCCACCATGTTGCGGTGAAGCAGCAGCACGTTGAGGTGCTTCTGAGCGTGGAAGATTCCCTTTTCGAGAGACACGAGCTGGTTGTGAGAAACGTCCAGATAGCGAAGGTTGCCGTACACACCGAACGAGGACATGGCACTCCTGATGTGGTTGTTGCTCAGGGTCAGCTCGCGTAGGTTTGGGTTGAGCGTTATGGGAACAACCTCCAGGTAGGCCGCGTCGCACACGACGCGAAGGTTCTCATCGTCGCAGACACAGCGCACGGGGCAGATGGCCAGGGCGCCTTGGAAGCCCCACACCATGCACCAGACCAGCAGCAACGGCAGCCACAGCGCCGACTCCTGAGGCCAGTAAGGCATTGCGGCCTCACGTCTGCGAGAAAAAAAAAAAAAAAGAGAGAAAGAATCAGCCAAGAATACCGGCGATACACTGAAAGGTCGGATACACATATAAGCCATCATTGCACTAGTTCAATTAGCACAGCCCGGCATACTGTGTTGAAAAATGAAAACAAAAATGTATACAATACTTTCGAACATCGCAATTCAGTGTAAAGTTGGAAAAACCGCATTCGCTCTTTCTCGAGCGAGCTCAAATGCGGTGCCGCCAGCGTGCAGATAGCCCCCAAACCACTTCCGGTTCTGAACTAGACGGCGGGTTTCCAATCATTTGTGAAATTAAATATACCCGCTATCTTATGGAAATGGCCTCTTATAGCACTCTCAGACTTAATTCACTTATGATAAACGAATAATGTGCAAACATTTCGGAAATATACGAAACCGGCACACTGCGTTTGTTGCCAAACAAAAAAAAGGTCGAATAGATCCGCACACTGCACAAGAACTAGCGTAGCAAAGAATCACTGAGCCGCACATCCGGAGATAAAAATTAAAAACAAAATATATAAAAGACGGAGGTAAACGAGTCATTGGCTCAGTCGGGGCAAATGATGGTCTGATCATCCTCGCTCCCGGCGCGCGCCGTTAACCGGTTCGTGAGAAGACCCAGATGTCCGCCAAGCGTCCACTGCGTCTTTCAACCCGCCCGACCATCCAACCGTAATGGCGATCCATTGTCATCGCCGCCAACCGGCTTGCTTCGTCTCCCGGCCGCGGGAGACGGATTAGAGTCGGCCATTGGTCTTCATTAGCCCTTTCTGTTGTGCTAACCCCTCGCATTCCTTTATCTAGACACAAAAGAAGGCGACCGACTTGCACCGCGTTGTCATCGCCTCATCCATTTATTTGAAGGGTCATCAATCGACGTCCCCTGACAGTTGCCGACCGACCGAGACATCATCCTCAAGCTCCGAACGTGGAGTCGATTTAGCTGCTGCGATATCAGACTGCGGCATTACATACGACCGCTGAAGCCCGCCTCTGCTCAGCGGATGGATCTAGTATACCAAAGGGCCATACCGACTCCGACATTTTACGCAATAACTAGCATGTCAGGTGAAAAACGAAAGGAAGAAGAAGGGCAGGTACAAAATAGTCGATAAGCGCCCGCTTATGACAAATAGTGGTATCGGCCTATTTTACGCGCAGTACCCAACTGAATGGGATCGGTTGCGTACCCAACCGATCCCATTCAGTTAAATTAAAACAATGCCCCTTATCGATCAGATAAAAAACGCAGTTTCTTAATGGCCGTAAAATAAGGACATTACTGCGACTGATGTGGAACAATTATTCATCACACACACGATGCGCCCAAAAAACAAGTCAGTCATATTTGTCGCGTAGGCGTTCCCCATCGGAAAGCGTGCCCGCCGTAAGATAGCGTTCGGCGTATCCACCCTGGAAGAGCTTTATCTCAGGGCAGGGCATGTTCATAAAGGAAGTCTAAATGACGATGATCACACGGTCTCTGACGTAGGCCTATGCCTTTAGCGGCCACATATCGTATCTTCTTGGCAACATAAGAGAGCTTCAGGGAACCGTTTTTGCACGTCCAATACGGTACGGTGCGCCCTCCGGTCCGAACTGCGCATGCGCTATCGCAGAAGACTCGCAGAGCAAGACAGTGCTAATGCATCATACAAAAGAGAGTCTGCCGACACAGCCTAAGGAAAATTTCTTCGTCTTAGGACGATCCCGTCACATTAGTGATGCAAAAAGCTGCCTCCACACAATATCGAAACACACGCATACGTATACGCGTGAGGCAAACATGCCTGGAAGATGCGTGATGCGTTTCACGCGGATAATCTCATCATCGTGTCTCCAACGAACACCGAGTCTTTTGCACGATGTATGTCGAGTGGGACTGTGGCTTAATGCGATTTCGTACGAGATTGTTTTACGCATCTTGGGACGTCCGTCGAACTCCCCGATCTGCGTCTGCCTCGGCGCGTGGCAGTTTCTGTGCCAACTGTTCCTCCGTCGAATTGGTGTATGTTATGCACCAATTCAGGTTTTCCCGCTAAACGTAGCCATGGTGCCGCAACCGAGGGACGCACACTATGTCACGTTTAGGTGACCCTGGAAATGCTATCACTTTTAAGACATCTCGGCGCCCATGGGTACACCGAATTTATCCCTTTGATGGCCAGCGTCACCCCGAGAGCAACCACTCAAGCATGATTTATCTTATCCCACTATAGACCTTTGCAGAAATCACCTCCTGCGCGCTGCCATCTTTGTCTGCTGGGCTGTGAAACGCCTTCTAAGCATGCGTTGTTGATCTGCTGTGCGGTATATCGGACGCTGTGCGTGCGTCCACAGCTCAGTGACTCTGCATTTTTTGCCCGCTCGCCTCGTTCGAGACTGCCGCTGGAAAGGTCTATATTGCGCCTCGATACATTTAGCATCCTGAGTCGAAAGGCGAGGACACCTGAGCATAGTAGTGTATGATCGAAATGCATCTAACACTAATAATAATAATAATAATAATAATAATAATAATAGCTTTATTTGCCATATAGGTATAGTGGAAGCAGAAAAAAAGCTGTGGCGTATAGCGCATCTCCCTCCCTCCCTCCCTCCCTCCCTCCCTCCCTCCCTCCCTCCCTCCCCCTCCCCCTCCCCCCCCCCCCCCGATATTTGTTTTCTTTGTTACCGCAAAAATAAATTATGTATCGCTGAACGTTTGCTGTGGAACTACGCAATGCAAGCCTAATGCTTTTATATTGCGTCACTGCCACAGCGCAGACTTCATTTTTAGGTTCAAACGGATGCTCCGCCTCATCACTCACTGAGCTGATTTCCTAGATCGTAATGACTGGCACTTTGAGTGGTTTGCAGGTAAGTAGACGCGCAGGTATTTCTTAGAGTGCGGCTCGGGAGCGGGGCGCAGAAACGACACGTCAGGATGCACAGAGAACGTACCGCGTGCCCCTCGATGATGATAAAGGCCAGAGTAGGTAGAGAGGCGTGCTAAGCTTCGTGGCTTTCTCGGTATTTTTTTTTTTCTTCTTCTCTCGGTGTATCGATGTCATTCTTTTAAGGAAGGCAGAAATTATGCCGCACACAACAGCATTCTTTTTTTTTTTAAATATGAAGTTTTGTCGTCACAAACTGTAGTCACTGACAGCTGAAGAAACGCAAGGTGCGCTAATTGTGTTCACACACCTTGTTCTTCGTGATTGGTTCTTGGGCGTTCTTGTAGGCCGATACCGCAGTCTGATTGGCTGAGGAGTGATAATGAGATACACCGAACTCGCCAACGCGCCCTGCCTTTTTAAAGGGTACTCCGGAGTCTTGTTCGTAGTCCCAGATTTTGGCTGAAAAATCGCTAAACATCGCTGAAACAGAAACATCGCTGCAATAGTACCCTAAAATATTAGGCCAAAATGTTTTTTTTTTTTTTTGCGAAGTTACTACAATGTTGGTCCTCAACGTGTTTTTTTTTTCAAAGTGAACGTCTCTACAGGCAAAAATGAAGAATTCGGCAGACACTAAAGACTGCTTACGTGTAGGAATGCGAAAGCATTCCTACACGCAGTGCATTCCTACAAGCAGCGCCCCACGTCTTCCTTTCGCAGACGGCGCTCTGGCGGTGACACCACGTTTCCACACTGCGCAGGCGGGGCGAACCCTGCCGGCTTTACGACGGCTTTCGTGACGAAGCATCGCGTTGCTGTGCTTTTCTTTGTGTTTTATTTCTGTAGCGCGTCCGCTTTGACCTTGAGCGCACCCGTGGGCTCCCTCGACGAGGCATCTGCGTTGCTGTGCTATTTCTTTCTGTTTTATGGGGAATAAAAATTTAGGTGTCTTTTTTGTGCAACAGACGGTTACAGAAAACGCCGGTTTCGTTCCATGGGACCCCCAGTTAAGGCTTCCGCATTAAAAAAAGTGATGTCAGCTGAGAAGGCAGAGGTTCACTCATTGGACAACTAGACTTCGTTTCCAAGTGATTACAAGTGGCTCGAAACGAACGCTTTAGAAGCTCGCTCGAGCACCCGCGCAACAGTACGAAACGAATGCTCGGCACGGTCCGTTTTTAGTCTGTCTGCTCAACGTGCAAAGCGTGCCTTCCCCCGATACCACGGCACTGAAAAGCGCGGGTATGTTTGAATGGAGGTTTGTGCATCGTTTTCCCTTGCCTATTTCTTATTAACTATTCTGATGTTCGAGATACTAAATAGCATGCAGGAAAGGGTAAATACCGGTGGTTCCGAAATTATATACTTAGTTGGGGTAGCTAAAACAAAATCGCCGGAGTACAACACCCTTTTAAGCCGTCAGCGACTATGGGTGTAAAAGAGAGAAGAGTAAAAGTACAGGCAGGCTGGTGAATTGCAGACATACCTAAACCTAAATCCGGTGTCTCCGGTTTAGTTATGCATGTAAAATCAAGTGTTTGAGTGGACCGTAATAGAAAGAGAAGCGACGGAACAGAAAAGTGACAAAAAGTAAAGTGACAAAACCAAAAGGAGAAGGGGCGAAATTCTTAAGATCTAGGGTTTACGTATATTATACTCGCAGTGACATGCAGGGAAAAAGTAAGATTCGCTCGAAGTTTGCACGCGGCGGACGGTAGTTATGACAAGGCTCGGTTATCGGGCAAAGAAAAAACGATGCTTTTTGGCGTTTGAAACGTGCACGTTTTGGTAAGACAATATATACTAAGTAATCTTAAATGCAACATCTTAATTCACTACATACAAGGAAAGATTAGTAATGCTTTGCAAGGAGTCGAACTTTTTCTTCTTTTTCTTTTTTAACACAGTTCTCGAGGTGATTACGAGGATGTATATCAAGAACTAATCACCTCCGCCTGGAATGTACAGTCACACAATAACAAAAACAAAACAAAAGAAAAATTGCGCGAACTTGTTCACATTGTTGAAATCAGGACGCCCATTCTTCTAAGGCTGAAGTGGAACTTCGTTAAAAAAAAATGAGAAAAATAAAAAGAACGAAACT